CTGCGACAAGACAGAGAGGCAGGACAGGTTAACGACCGGCGGGCGTCTCTGGGAGGCAGCCCCCCAGCCGCCCGCCCAAAGCTGACTTGGTCTTAAGGAATGCGCACAGCCCCCTGCCCTAGCCTTCTGCTGCACACAAAAGTGGTGACTAGTTCTAATCCATATTAAACTGGAGACCATCACGGAGGCAGGGACAGGGAACCGGGTGAGTTGTGCAAATGGCAGTGAGGTCCCTGAGTGACAGCCCCTGACACAGCATCCTGAAGACGGGTGTCACTGGCGCCGGACAAGGGTTTGTGGGAAATTGGCCATGATGACATATGCCCAGCTATTGCTGGCCTCGGATTTATTCCCGTGGCCCTTTCTGATCTAGCACGTTGCCTGAGCACTGTCCAGGCCGGGGGAGCACTGGTCTGTACAGCTCTAAGAATCCACGAATGGCTTGCCCTGTCAGCCTACAGCTGCAATCTACCAGCCTCACAAAATTGCCGGCCACAAGTAGTAATTAATCTTTTTATCCCTCAAATTGTAATTTTGACTAGGATCCGTACACGGCCATAAATCAGCGGCACACGCACCGTGGACAGTGCACGGATCTCGGCCGGACCGCAACCGGCTGCACACACGGTGCTTAACAAGCTTTGTAAGGAGCCATCGGGTCTTATTATGGCTCCAACAAAAACTGAGCCCTGAGGCCCAGAGACGCGAGTTACGGGGAAAATACTTATTAGAGCGCATTACTTCTGGATGGAGATACCGCTTTCCGTGGAGCGACTCCACGGTGCGTGGCGGGACATAAATCAGGGGTTTTTCGGAGACTAACAAGACCGGCCGGCCGCCATCTCTTCATTACTCCCCGTGCGCCGTGGGCCATCCGTCATCAGTCACCTCGCGAGTGACAGCGCCCCGCTCGGCAGGCGTGGGACACAAAGGGCCCGGAGAGCCGCGGCAAGGCCTCTCCCATCACCTGACCCCGTCTTCCCAAGCGCTGGGGCCACAGCGCCTCGCACACCGCTCGGCAGCCCGGCCCGCGTGCTCGGGAACACGCCGGGAAGTTGAGGCCCACAATATGATCTGACATTCCATCAAACATCCCGGAGACAAAGGGCCACGCAGGAATGTGAAGTAAGACATTTTCTTGTTAATAAAGCATTGATCCGACGTATTGATTTTACATGACATGGCTTTTGCTGGGATTTCACCCTCTTTTTTCTTTGCAAATAGTAAAGCCCTGTAAATGCCTTGGCGTATGTGACACGGCGAAATTTCTAACTCTCTCTGATGTAAATTCTATGTGTGTAAAACCACTTCATAATCAGACCATTAATCATCAGAGGCTGTCAGCGCTGACTTGGGGGACAATTTGTCATGTCTCTGCCCGGGTCCCAGCCAAGGTGTCAGGCGCGAGTGCAGCCGGGCGGCGGCGGCGTGGACGGGCGGCGGCCGTGGCCTCGCCAAGCAGCCCCGTCCAGCAAGGATTAGATCAAGTGTTGCATTTCTCAGTTGGGGAACGGACTAGGTGGCCCCGTGTGCACTTCCAGCACGTCAGACCTCTCCACTCTCCCGGCTAACCACCGTGACTGCCGGACTTAATGAATCGGCCTGATGAGAGGTGATCAGAAAAGATAGATGGGCGGCCGCTATTGATTTCATGCAAATGCGCGTGACAGGTGATAGGCGCCTTAATGCAAGCTTTCAGAAGCTTTATGACTTGTAATAACTGCACACTCCTGTTCCAGGGGGACGCTCCAGGCCTTCCTCTTCTCGGACCAGCAAGGGCTTCAAGCCGGGCGACAGGAGCTGCCTCTGCACTCGCACACCGGCCCCAGGTGTGATGGCACGGTCCTGAGCACCGTGCCTCCAGGCCAGGTGCAGGCCACAGCAGCAAGGTGCCTGGGGCTGCTGCCCAGCAGGGCCCAGTCGCGCACATTCTGTCTCCACAGCAGGAGCAGTGACAGGTGGTACTCGCGCTCCTGCCAGTGGTCAGGGTGGGGAGGGGGCTGGCCAGTCTGCCCCTAGTCTCCAGAGCAGTGGCCACGGCCACTTGCAGAACCAGCTGGCCCCCAGTCTCCCGCGCTCAGGAACGGGCAGAACCCTTCCCCACCCCAGGCTCGGCCAGGAGGTGGCCGCAGCACATGCGCTGTGCAGGGGAGCCCGGCTGGGCCAGGGCAAGGCGCTGGCACGTCCAGTCAGGGAGCCCCCAACCAGGCCAATCAATACCACTTTCCTGTTTTAGAACTGGGTAATTATGAGGGGGAGAGATTGCCTGACCTTTCACCCGCACTGCATTACTTTGCTGATATTAAGATAAATTGCCTGATTTTGGGTAAACATATGCTGCAATTCAAACTGTCAGCACTGGTTTGCTCAGGGATAATTTGTATTGATCTCTCAGCTTCTTCCCAATTTTGCTTACTGACCTCGTGGATAATTAGAGAAGGAGGCTTGGGCGAGCGTGAGCCACGGGGAGGGCAAAATATGAAGAAGAATAAAGCAAATTTGGTTTATGTTAATATTTGCCGGCTCCCCCACCCACCCATCTGTCAGCACGAGGAGAGCCTCGAATGAACGGACTTGGTTCCCCCACAATTCACTGCCTAGGATCGCTTAGCGCGGCTCAGCCTCTGAACATGTGTCACTGGTTAAATTAATTTGAACTCTACCTTAAACACAACAAAAACAAATGTTATTTTCTGCTGAAGGGGAAAAACAAAACATTTCTCGAGACACGCCGTGCGCTGCAGCCTCCCTGCCCGGCCTCCCACCTCCCCAGGTCCGGCGCAAGCATCGGGGAGCAGGGCCCGCCTCCGCCGCCCCCGCCGCCCCCCGGGATGAATGTATGTGTGAAATTGTATCATTTAAGATATGTCAGATTACAAGGCTGTTGTATCCAGAGTCACAAAACAAACCTCCCCTGTGAAATGTCTCTTTATTAACCGTGCCGTAAGATATTAACATTCGTCATTTAGTGGAGGGCCTTTTATCTGTTTCAAATACATTATCCGTCCTTTTAGAGATAAACTGTATTAGTATCCATTTGAGTAGGCTACCGCGGCCTAATGCATAGTAATTTTTGTTGGAGAGCTTTTATTTTAGAATAAGAAAATTACACAGCAATAAAACCTGAATGAGTCAAAAGCTGGAATAGCCAGGAATCGCATTCCATGCCAAATGAGGCAGGCGATCAGGCGACTATCACACGCAGGCCAGCGTGCAGCGCGGGGCCTACAAATAGGCCCTGACACGACCACGTGCACGCGGCGATCCCCACGCGCTGGAATAGCCTACAGCTCGGGAAGGATTCCTATTTAAACATATTTGAGTGTACTGGAGTTAATCTCGTTACTTTACATGCGTTAAAGTCATAACAGAAGAAGCATTCTAAATATTTAAGTCAGGCCCATGTACTGGGGGATTAATCATACCGCAATTGATAAAATTTTAACGGTCTGTGATGTCAATTCAAGTTGGGATTGCCAGAGCTAATGTGGCAGCCGAGAATGGCACGAGGCCCTGAGCTACAGCTGGGACCAGGGCAGCTCCAGCCAGCCCGATGTGAGCAGAGCGCCCTGACTGCTGCAGCGGGCAGGGACACCCCCGACTCCTGCAGCGGGCAGGGACACCCCTGACTCCTGCAGCGGGCAGGGACACCCCCAACTCCTACAGTCGGCAGGGACACCCCCGACTTCTGCAGCGGGCAGCAGGCAGGGACACCCCCGACTCCTGCAGCGGGCAGGGACACCCCCGACTCCTGCAGCGGGCAGCAGGCAGGGACACGCACACCCTGGCTTGCCCTGGGAAGGCCGGGGCTCATCCGCCCCTGCCTGAGTCCCACACTCAGCTTTGCCACCCCGGAAATGCAGGTGGTGACGTGGTTAGGCTCCGACAGCAGTCCATGAAGGTAGGAACACTGAGCGAAGCAGGGCCACACGGCAAGGACCTTCTGGGGACAGCAGGAATAAGAGCATTCCACAGAGGGAAAGAAGAAGCACTTCCAAAAGTTTGCAGGTAGAAAAACTGCAATTAAAAGATGTTCACCCAGGTAAAGAAAAAAACTGAAATGCAGGTGTGGTGTTTCTTCCCGTGCTCCACACTGCCCATGAACTTCCTGAAGACTCCACAGGGCCTGGTTCTGAGCATTCCCCAAATAAACCTATCTTTTTGTTCCATCTCCCACAAACTTTTCAGTATAACCTAGTAGACATGGCCAGGGTGTGTGTGTGTCTATGTTTTCAAACAGCAAACTCAGGGGGAAAAAAAATTACCCAAGAACCTGTCTTCCACGCAAGTCGTCCTGGCTTTGTTAAGCAGGTACTACACGCCTGGCAGTCAGCGGAGGGAAAGCTGCCCACAGGAGCATCAGACGAGCAGCAGCCCAGGCGAGGCTGTGGCCTGCTGCTGCCCAGACGGGCAGACAGCCCTGGGCACCCGCTCAGCCCAAAGGCTGCCCGCCTACACACAGGGATGGACAGCAGGCAGGGACAGTGGCAGGAAGGAGGGGCCCTGGTGACAAAGCGTCATTGTCACAGCGACCTCCTGACCATCCTTGCCAGAGAGACCTGGCCAGTAGCCCAGCAGCGGCGTGCAGTACGCCTGCGAGTGCAGCTGGCACAAGGGCTCTGCCCAGCACGGTGGGGGTGCCTGACTGGTGCCCTAAGAGCACAAGGGGGGCTCGTGCGGGTAGCAGACGAGCCGCGTGGAGCGGGCCCCATGAAGAGTGGTGTGGGAAGTTCTCGGTTTGGCGTGGACCCTCCTCCGCCTTCAGAAACCTGACTTCAACAATGAGAACAGGAAGACATCCGCTGCTCCCCTCCAGCTGCCGGCTGCAGCTAGTAAATGAGTCCCAGTTTCATTTCAATAATGATGATCTTCCTGTGACTTCCCAATCACGCATTTGTCATAATGCAGTAATTTTCTAGCTACAAACAGATCCTCGTAATGAGGCAGTTTTTCACATTAGCAACATAGCTACATAATAAGAACATCTGCAACTCCTTTTC